AAACCAAGTCTGGTTCGCAAACCGAGGCAAGGCACAAAAGAGGGTTCGGAAATCCAGAGGCAGGGCTCACGGCCGCGATTCTGAGACTTCTGAACGAGCGCGATATGCAACATCACCAAGTGCCCAATTGGTGACGTCTGAGTCTTAAGGTCGGTCAAAAATGGGGTGTCTACATGACGAATTCAAATTCAGCCTTCTCAGTCTTGAAACTCACCAAAGAAAACTATGATAATTGGTCTATCAAAATGAAGGCGATTTTAGGAGCCAAAGGAGTATGTGGGTTCGTAGAAGAAGGCTATATAGAGCCTCCATCAAAAGAAGAAGAAGACAATCTGATGATTACCGAAAAGAACTTTCTTAAAAATTAAAAGAAAAAGGATTCAACCGCAAGAGAACCAATTCATGCAGGACACGACGAATCAACGTTTGAGATCATTCTAGGAGCAAAATTAGGAAAAGAAATTTGGGATCTCCTTCGCCAAACCTTTTGAGGCGCAAAACAAGTTAAGAAAATTCGACTTCAAACTCTACGAGGTGAGTTTGAATTAATTCAAATGAAACCATCTGAGTCAATTTTTGATTACCATACTGGACTTATGGTAATTGTAAATCAAATGGAGAGACATTTACTGATGTTCGTGTCATGGAGAAGATATTGAGGTCCCTAGACCCAAAATTTGTTTGTGTTGTAGCCATTGAAGAATCCAAAGAATTGGAAGAATTAATAGTCGAAGAGCTCGTGGGTTCCCTACAAGCCCATGAACAAAAATTGGCAAGACGAGATGGAGAGAAGCCGCTCAAGCAAGTTCTCCAGACAAAGCTGAATTTTAAATCAAAATCATCCAATCGAGGCTGATTTCAACCAGGTCATGGACGAGGAAGATTTCAGCAAAATAATCAATATCAATGTCAAGACAACAAAAGAGGATCTTGGCAAAACTCCCCAAGAGCTCGAGGAAGAGAAAGATTCACCCAACCAAATCAACAATCTGGAAAAGCTCTAGTATAGTGCCAAATATGTGAAATTTTTGGACACTCCACAAAGGACTGTTGGTATCGAAATACCAATACTGAAGGAAATAAAGTCCATTTTATCAAAGAATGGGACACAGGATCCACCAGTTTGCTTGCATACAAAGACAACGAGGCACAACAAGACAACTTATGGTATCTTGACTTTAGAGAAAGAAACCATATGAATGAAAGTGCAAAAGAGATTGAAGAAAAAGATCAAAAGGCCAATATAACAAAAGAATTGGCAGAAGAAGAGCAAGACAAAGAAAGTGTTAACAAAATCACACCAATTGCAGAAGAAACAGAAAATTCAGAAGAAAGAGTATCTGAAGAAAGAAAAGTTATAACAAGTCCAATCAAACTTGATGAAAGACAGATGCAAAGCCAAGGAGTTAATGAAGCAAGAATGGAAGCAATAGAACTTCCTAAAGAAATTCAAATAGATGCTGAGTTTGACAAAGAATCAAACTGGGATTGACAATCAAATGCTTAGATGAAGAGCATACCTTTAGATAACAGCCAAGAAAAGGAGTCACCAGACATGGAGACCACAATGACCCCACACTTACCGCAAGAGGAGATAAGCAGCATTTCAAGTAAAGGATCACCAATTCAAGACATCTATGACATAACTAGACGCATCAATGAAGATTTTGATTTATTCTATCTCTTCATAGGTGATGATCCAATAGGAATTGAAGAATCTCAACAAATGGCAAAGTGAAAAAGTCATCAAGATAAAACATTCACGGAATGTCTAGGAATGAAGAAAGTCCAATGCAATGCTCATACTAGAAAACAACTAAAGAACACAACACTGAAGGTCTACCACCAGTACAAGAGAAGAATCAAATATATGGCATACAAACACTTGAGGACAAGAGTAAAGATCCTTACAGCAAAAGAGAAAGCTATAATGCTTGCAACTATTGAAAGAATGAAGAAACCCACCAAATTGGATTTGAGGGGGGATGTTGAAAAATCCAAACCCAACTTAACAACAAATTACCAAAAGATAGAAGAAGAAAGAAGAAGAGTTGAGAAGTTGGAAGAAGATTGAAGAAACTCCATGGAAGCTCCATGGTCAAAACCTTCACCATGAAGGATATGAGAAAAATGTGGAATTGAGCTATACACAGCTCATAGCCATCAGGTCTTCATACATGGGCTTAGGTCTATAAATAGATTACATTATTTGTTGTATTAGATAATGAAATCAGATGAGATAGACTATGAGATAAGAAAAATAAATACTGCAGGTACTCCAAAATTAAGAAAGAAAAATTTAGTGTTTGTTCTTCCAAGTTCCTTCTCAATATATCAGTGGGATTCCATTCCCATATCTCATCAAGTGGAATTAAATTTTCCATCAGTGGTATCAGAGTATACAAAGGAAATTTAACGTAATTTCCATCAATATATACCTCTTCATCCATGGAGAAATGCATTATTGACATCAAATTGATGAATAGACCAATTTTTAATGGAAGCAACAAATAAGAGAGCTCGAACAGTGACGAGTTTGGCCACAAAAGCAAATGTATCATGGTAATCAAGCCCTTTCACTTGGTCGAATCCCTTGGCAACTAAACGAGTTTTATAACAGTCAATGGTACCATCAGATTCATACTTGACTTTATAAACCCACTTACACCCAATAGGCTTTTTTTTGGGTGGTAAAGAAGTAAGACTCCATGTGTGATTGTTTTCAAGAGCAATTATCTCTACAACCATAGCATCATGCCAATGTGGAGTTATAACTGCTAGAGAAAATGACTTGGGCTCTTTTGTGGAGAAATAACAAATAGGAAGGCTCAATGGACAAATGAAAAATAAGTGTAGGAAATATAATGATCAAGAGAATAGTGAATACCTGTCTGACTAGAAGGCATTGGAGGTGGTAGTGTATCATGTGATCATGTGAGACCACCGAACAATAGTAACCTCTGAGGTAAGCTTGTTTCTTTCTTTCACGTTGGGTATCAATGGGAGGTTGATTGTTGGTGGGATTATTGATTACAGATGGAGCAGTGGCAGGTTCAATAATTGGGACATGCGAAGTGGTAGGTTTAGGGACAAGTACAAGAGGTAGGTAGATGATCATGGGCTTCAACAAGTTCATTATGAATGGTGTGGCAGCGTTGGAAGGTATGGATGATAGGAGGTGGTTTTTTTGAATCAGATTTGGTTTTGTTGTCAATTTGGGTTGATGTGGTGCATAATCGAAGTGTGGATGATCCTCAAGAGGCAAGGAAATGACTAGTGAGGGATTTGGGTTTGAGGAAATATCTTTAAAAGGAAAAATAGTTTCGTGAAATGCAATATCTCTTGACACAAATGGTTTTGGTTTGAATATCATAAATCCTGTATCCCTTTTGTGCATAAGGATACCCAACAAAAACTCTAGGTTTTCCATGCTGGTCAAATTTGTGCTTAACTGTAGCATTATGTGTAACGCCCTACTACTGGCTAGTCCAAGTAACCTGTGGGTTTTGGGTCTTGTTGGTAGACCCATAGGTTACTTGGGCCAGCCGGTAGTGGGACGCTACATTATATGCAAAACCCAAGTAACCAAAAATATGAAGGTGTGAATATGAAGGTGGGGCTGAAAAAAGTATTTCATATGGTGACTTGTTTTGAAGGAAGGGCGTGCAAATGTTTGATTAAATATGCTGCAGTAAGAAGACATTCTCCCCAAAATGAAAGGGGCCAGTTGGCCTAAAATCTTAATGCTCAAGCAATCTCCAAAAGGTGTTGGTGTTTGTGTTCAACTACACCATTTTGTTGGGATATAGATACGCAACTATGTCGATGAATGATGCCATTTTGAGAAAAGAAATCTTGCATTTCATTTCATAAAAATTTTGTTCCATTGTCAGATCGGATTTGTTGAATCTCAGGAAGAAACTCATCACCATCACCAAAAACATGTTTTTGATTTGACAATGATAATGAGTTTTACCATGAAAAAAAAAAAAAAGATTTAAAATGATAAGAGATAATGAGTCTTAAAACGTAGAAGGTATATCCATGTGCACCTAAAAAACACATCGCTCATGAAAGAAAGTAACTGAGTACTGATGGGATTTTGTAAGTTGACTAACAGATAAGAGATTAAATTTAAAAGATAGGATTAAAAAACACTATCAAGTTGTAAGGTTGTGAAAGAGTCACAGTACCGATGTGAGTGATTTGTGCATCAGAACCATTAGGTAATTGAACATAGAATGCACTAGTGCAAGGTGCATAAGATGAAAAAAGGGATAAGGGAGAGCACATGTGGTTGCTAACACCTGTGTCAATTATCCAAGTAGAAAAGAATGGGATGGAAAGAGCTATATACTTGGTAAGTTGGCATGTAAATGGGTGCCACCTGATGAGAGCATGGCCAGAATATTGTTATATTGCTCTTGAGTAAACATTAGAGTAGTCACCATTGCGTGATCATTGGATCGAGTAAATCCTGAAGTAGATGGATTCGAAAAATTCTGATTCCTGGAAGAATTCCTTGGTCTATCAGTGGGATAACCATGCAACTTAAAACATTTATCTGTATTATGGGTGTTAGAATTATAGTAATCACAGTGCATCCACAGCTTTCCCATTTGGCGATTGTATCCACCAATATTGCACTGACTAGAAATCGTGTTATGCCGATTCGATGATCGATTTGAGTGAGGAGCCCTGTTATTGGTGCTAATATTAGCACGGATTTGAGCTGGTACAGACCGAGTTTCTATGCTATTCATAGTGGCCAAATTGACCATGAGTGCAGCGGCCTCTGGCAGGGGTTGACGAGTGTATCTCTTGTTGCTTTTCTTATTGTCGCGCTAGAGCATAAATCTTGGTGGCATTTGGAAAATGATCCATTAGGAGGATATGACTTCGAATAGTAGAGTAATGTTCATGGAGGCCTTGAAAGAATTCCATGGCATGATCTTGTTGATTGACAGCAGCGTTTGCTTTCCATGGCCACAAGTGCAAGGTTACACAGTACAGATAGAACTACGTTCATCCCATTGTACTTTCATCTTTGTAAAATAAGTCGGATGAGTTTCTCGCTTTGTTTTAGCAATGGATTGCTTCAGTTGATAGATTTTTAGCGCATTAGTTTGAATGAATCGATCACAAAGATCAAGCGATATCTCTCTGACAGTCTCAGCATAGAGTATACTTTCATGGATCTTGCTTCCTATCGAGTTGAGAATCCATGAACCGACTAGATCATTGCATCGCTCCCATTGATGCAATTCCTCAAAGTCCTTGGGTTGTTCAATTGATTCATCAACGAATCCAATCTTATTTTTGGTGCGAAGCACCATGGTCATTGCATGAATCCATGTTCCGTAGTTGTCTCTTGAGAGGAGTGGAGAGACTAAAACAGCAGTAGGACTATCCGAATGATGTACTAAGAAACGATCGTTGTTTGATCCAACAACTTTTCTTGAATTCTCTTTCTCTGGCATGTTTACGAAGTGTCAGATCTTTCACTGCTCTGATACCATAATACAAAACAGTTTTGGAGAAAAGGTGAGAGACTTCTCTGTATATTTGAGATCTCTGCATTCATCTATATTTATAACACAATGTATCTTGCTTTGCAAGAAAAATATACAACAATTAAGGTAGATATACAAAGAAAACATAGCAGAGCAATCAACAGAAAATCACTAAAGTTATGGTAACAATTAAGGAAAGAAATCTTCCAAATCTTCTACGCCCAAATCTAACATTATCACTATACTATTTTTCTAATAGCTTTTAGTCATATTTTGTTACTGAACACATTTAGATCAAAATTGGATGCTTCCAAATAATTTGAAGTTATGAAAGAACATGCTTTGAGGATAAGTTCTTTCGAAGTAGAAGACGATTCTTTGGAGTTGGAATCGCTTGTTTCTTAAAAGGCTTCCATTGATACTTAAGGATCTTAAGTAACATAAAGGGATTGGAAGCAATAAATTTAAGTTTCGGCCTAGATGGCTCAAACTCAGTTACTGCAACCATTGCCTTGTGTTTGACCTCCCATTTATGCTCCTAATAGAGATCACCCTGATGATTTGAAAGAAACATTATTGTAAATGCAAAAACACATTTTAAAAACTAGGACGTTAGAGGATCAAAATGCAGATGAATTTTATGCTTCTAACAAGAATAAGGATGTTAACAAATTGCAAACTATCTTTGTGATTCCAAATGGATTGATGGTATGATGCAAAAGTATGGCTCCTTTGTCCGGTAAAATTTATGGTTGCTTTTAGTCGCATTTCTACTGCTCAACACATTCATTTATGTTTTATTAGGTTCAAGGAGTTAAGGGTAGCTTGGTAATTTTCAGAATTCCTTGATACTGGTTTTAGCTCAGTTCCATCGTCATAATGTGGGTTATACTATTGTTTTCAGTCTCATGAATGGTGAATATCCTAGTTAGTACAATACATAGAGTCCATATATGAATTGTGAGCATATGCTTATATTTTCTTTTGTAAAATGCAGTGCCTAATTATCTCTTGCGGTATCTGTAAAATAACTTTAGTTCACATTTGATGGAAAATACTATTTATAATCCTATGAGGCAAGTCATTTTCATTACTAAATCCCGGATATCAAGTTTTATTTGTTTTCGAAACTCAAATGATTCTAATTATATGGGGGTTCTGGTGGTTATATTTAGATATTTTGGTTTTTAACTTCCATTTTCAAAATATAGTTTATTATATTGATGAGGCTTTTGAGGTATGATATGTTAGAGATCTCATGGGACCATGGATTGCTTTGTCATGAATCATATGTTATTTGTGAATAAAAGATGATCTCATTCACCAATATATAGATATATATATATATTTTTTTTAGCTTTACTGCCATAAACAATCATGGTAAAACGAAATGTATAACGAATACAATACTTGCTCATTCTTTTTAGAATATATGAGACTCTCTGATGTGGTTCAAGAATAAGCAAGCTTCTGAGATTAAGAATTTGAACATGATGTGTAGGATTGATTTACTGGTTCTCAATGTTTTTTGAAATATGAATGTCTTGCAGTTTTCATGTCTATAAAAATGATGGAAATGTTTGCTCGCATTCATGATTGGGGGCTCTAAATGCCTAAATATCAAAACCAAATTTTGATATCACGGGATCGTTAGAATATTTGCAATGAAACAATGGATCAAGCTGGACTTTTTTTTTTTTTTTTGATCGGCAAAAAAAACTTTATTAACAAAGGCTAAGAACAATAAAGCAAAGGGAAGAGCAAGAAGCATCAAAGCTAAATCCGAGCACAACCCAAAACAAAAATGGTTGGAGAGAATCCCCCAAAGGCACAAAAAAAAAAAGAAAAGAGGGGGGGGGGGGGGGGGGGGGGGGGGGAAAAAAAAAATAAAAAAAAATTAAAAACAAAAAGAGGAGGGGGGGGGGGGGGGGGGGAAGCAAAACAATTACAAACAAATTCAAGACAACAAAAAAAAGCACAACAGAAACAATAGAGCCACCATTGCTACACCAAGAATAGCAGCCATTGGTAAACCAAAAGCACATAAAACTAATGGCAACACAAAAGCTTCAAAACCAAGCAGAAGGAGAGCAACTCACAGCACCAATCAGCCATTTGATTTGTGCACAGGTCGAACATAAGCAACACTCCAAAATGATAGCAACATCCAATCCAAAAACCAGCAACATCACAACGTAGTCAACATTGACCACAGAAAATCTGTTCTCAAGCAACACCTCTGATCTGTTTAAAATTGTGAATGAAATCATTAAGAGACATGTACTTCTGTCTTTTGGACCCATTTTTCCCTTATGTTCTCTCAAACTTGTACAAGCAATCTGTATTATGAATGATTGAATTTCTGAATTGGTCGCTGCTAATCTCAGTAGTGGTCTTTGCAAAAGAATAGATAAATAGATAGATAACAGAGTGTTGGCCTCCGACGTGCAATATATCATCTTAATAGCCTATTACGATGTTCTTGAATTTGAGGGGCACCATTTTTTTTTTATTTTTTTAGAGAAATTCATTTTCTTGAATGAAGCCGTTTGAGTCAACAGCAAGCATCTGAGAAAATGTCATTTTTTAAGCTTTCATGGGACAGGAACCTAACAATGATCGGAGGAGAGAGGTTTTTCACCCTATTTTCATCAATGGTTCCATCAAATTTTATAAATTTTCACATAAAAAAAAATTATCAAATAAGTGAATGAAGGTTATTCAAATGCAAAAGAGCATTGAGACAGCTGTTTAATGAATTATTGCATTTAAATGTCATCATATGGCTTCATGAAGTCTTAATATTTTTCATTCGCTTTCCTAATGATTTATGTTTTTTTGGGTCTTGTTTCTTAATATGATTTCAATCAAGCACTGTACAAATTGAATTATTATAAGCTGAACTCTTATAGGACTACCTTATCAGACTCCCAACTTCTAAATGTGTAGTTATCCAATCTGTGCAAGCATGACCGAATTGCATGATTTTCAAGTCTTAGTGGCTTACTGTGTATTGTAACAATTCACTTTCCACGTATATAAAGCACTGCTGACATAAAAAGTTTTGGAAGAACTGAAACTTGATTGAACCATAATGATATTGGAAAATTCATATCCCTTCAAGATGCCCACTAGCTTAGGTGGTAAAAAAAAGTGGTAACAACATCAAATGCTTGGATTCAAGGTTCCAATATTAGATGCGCTAATAAAATAAAAAATTATCACTTCAAGTTGTTTGTTGTTGAAACTTATCTGTGATCCTCACTTTTGCAGAGAAACACCGACAGTGGTGCTGGAAAAGATAACATTTCAGATGCTCCAAATGGCTCCACCAACCATATAAAATCCTTGAACGAAAAATAACCTTCTCATTCTCCATCAAATCTAGTGTTTGGCTACCTTAACCTCTTCTCCAATGGATGGAATACTCCAACAATTTCATCACAAACAGTTAAATACTAACATACAAGCACTCACAAACAGTTATATTACAAACAAGCACACTAACTAACAATTTCAAGCACTAGCAAACTGTCAATCTCTAAGCCCACTTTTGTATATTGGTACATTCTCTTTGATGGAAGCTTTCAAAGCAGCATCTTTGTTTCATTCAAAACAAAGGAGGCAAGCCAAATCACAACAATCTTCATCCTATAACATATTATCATAGTGGTTTTTAAATTTTCAGCCAAAGGATATACAAGTACTATAAAAAACAATGAAATTCAACTTGAGAAAAATAAAACTCACCTTGAAGTTGCATTCCTCATAATCTTCCCGGGTTAAATCTTTTTTTTTTTTTTTTAGAACAACCACCTAACTGCCCCTAAGCACTAGTGTTTTCATTCCCAAAAGGGGTAAACTTCAGAAAGGAAAAAGGAAAAGAACATGACAAAAAATAGAAGCAACACAAAAGACGTGACATTATTAGATGTTTCAATGCACTAGCTCACAAGTTAGTCCAGAGTTTTCTACTTTGTTCTACTTTGAATAAATTGAATACAGGTAGAACCAAAACAATGAAACTCAAATTGCAATTGCATCCTGATTCTTATTCTTGCCCATTTTTCTTGCTTTCTTGGGTTCACTTCCGGTACTTTCTGTTTGAACTAATTCACCATAAAGTTATGGATAAATAGAGGAGAGCAAAAACTTCAACAAAAATAAAATACAAATTCAAATACAAATTGAAGAAGGCATTGTTTAACAATTGGTATTGGATGAAGCCAAGCCAAGTTAATCAGCTTTGTTTTTTTATTGACAAGTCATATATTGGAGAGGAAAGCATGAAAAAAATAGAGACAAACAAAGGTGGAGAAGAACTGACCCAAGATAAGAAATATAATTTTGACATTTCAATAGGAAAAAAGAAAGAAAAAGGATGAATGAAGAGCGTTTCCTATTCCACTTTGTGAAGGAATTTATTTTAGTGGGACAAATACAGATTGGTTTATTGACATGAATCATGTATCAATTGCAAAATTGAGGTTACTCAAAATTTTATCATTCTTAGTAATTTTGTAATACGATTTTCATATTGTCTTCACTCTCCATTTAGGTTTTAATATTTAATTTACAACTTTTAAGTTCTCAAATAGTTTTAAAAAGTTTAAGCTTTAACCAGTGTAAGTTGGCATAAATGTATAGTATATCATACTCAATACCATACAGGTAGAAATTTGTCAAAAAGGTAGACAAAAATAAAAGAAAAAGTTTTATTAATAAGCAAATGAAAATTTATAACAATAATAATTTAAATAAAAGAAGTTCAATTATTTTCTTAAAAATTGCTAAAGAAATTTAAGTATTCATGTATCGTATTGATTGCGTATCTCGTACTACATAGTGTATAGTAAGATACACTTAACTTAAGCTACATATTGATGAAATATAATGATTTACCTCTAAAATGATCAAACTGTAAAATATGTATTGTGAATCGTAAGATACAAACAACACTAGAAAAC